CAAGCCACTCTCATTTTCCCTTTGAGGAGCCATATTCATGCCTAAATGAGAATAAAAGATCTCGAAATTAACATAAAAATATATTTTTCGCATCTTGTGATTCTTGCAGCTTGAAAAACCAACATGGGGAAAATATGTTTTGAAGTAAGGCATATGCCCATGCCGTTACAGGATCAATTTGTACAACTCTTGTCACAGTTATTTATTTATTTCAGCCCGCGCGTCTCTTCTCTCTGGTAGGAAATGGTCAGTGTAGTTTCCCTTTGAAGTCTGAAATTATTTGTCCCATTCGCTCGGAGGAATTGCAATCGCTGGTGGCTGCACATGCTATTTGTTGTTAAGTGGAATATACTACAATATTCAGGCTTTGTTAGATTAAAGGAGAGAAAAATGCACTGATATTGCCTGATAACCATGCACACAACATCAAAAAAAAGAAAAAGAGGAGGGGGGGAAATAAATATTCATGTGAAAAAGCGTTCCGCCAAAACAAAATGCAAATTTAAAGTGATCAACCCTGAACATGAAGTTATTGGACGCCATCGAGTGCATTAGAGGTGACTGTACAAATGTAGTCTTTGTTGCACAAGTTTCTACTGTAGTGCATTGCTTTTTTTTCAATGACACATGTTGCTAAAAAGTGCAAAGGGTATTGCAAAAAATAATGTCACAAGACAAGTAGGTAGAAACAACATGAACATTCAGATTAGACTCTGCAGCCACATGAGGTGCTGCATGTTACGCTAATTGCTAACATCAACAGGCTAACATGCTTGCAGTGAGAATGCTAACATGTCAGTTGTATGTATCACCATCATGGTTAAGCAATAATAACGATTTGCACACTAGAGAAATTGTAGCTAGTTTTTACGCTAATTTCATGATGGCTACAGGAAATATAGGATCACCAAATGGCACCATGTTTATCTGTAAGTTTGTGTACATTTTAAATCCATTCATTCTGTAGTCATGGACACATCACAATCTGGATCAAAGTGTTGAGCTGACACTGACTGTTAGATTGCCATCTCTAAAGACATGCTGCTGTGCACACTGTATAACAGGAAGAAGTGCATAAATTAAGCTCCAGGTGTTAAACATATGTGCAAAGATGTTTCTACAAAGATAATAACTCAGTGGTTCACTAAAAACATTCTTGCTGAATGTAAAGTCTAAAATTCTGTATAAAACAGGCCTAACTTGAACTTGAAATCACGCATCTAAGTGTTCAAATTGAGGACATTTGAACAATTACAAAGTATTTTGTTGAGTGAGTTTGTCACGTAGCTCTAATTCCTGCACAGGATATTGGAAGGAAAACCTTCAAATCCATTGCGAGGGGTCATCATTACATGTGACCTTTCTCTGAAATGAGTTTTGCCTCTGTGCCTCTGCACTTTGTCATTTGATTAGAAATCTAACATGGCATTCTCCCATTGTTCTTCCGCACTGACATAACAGGATTCTGGCCCAATTTTGATCTCACCTGCACCGACTTGTAGAATAGAAATAAAATGGAACACAATGTAAAAATGTAGATAAACATCATGTGAGTGTGCTGAAAATGGGGAAAAGTGCCCACTTAAGCCCCATGAATACCATTTACAGTAAGGCTAGACGCTGCAGCCACACAAATAATAGCACTGTACATTTGCACATGCAACACACATAAACAACGCGCACATACACAGCGCAGAGACTCCCCGTCTGCCATATATGATTTACATTTAGTGGTTGAATAATCAGTTGACATGCAGCTCTGGGAATTCTGTGCTTAATGAGTGCCTCTTCACATAAGCAGTTTGCTGGAGTTATCTCGAACATGAGACCGCTGTCAAAATGTCAATGAATCTCAATTTAACTACCAACTTAATCACATGGGGACCATCTCGTGTAGGCAGGCTGGATGTGGAGACGCATCCTTTGTGCGGTTTATTTGGAAATATTGGCACGAAGGAAACAGAAAACTGGGAAAACATTATCACAGTGTTTTACATGCCATTAGGCAGTAATGGTAACCATTCAGAGAAATTCTAATTAAGCAGGTATATTGGGGAATATTTAAAATGTTGATACGGAGTCTGCCAGGATGAGTGTTTGACATCTCGGCTGTCAGAACGGTTAAATACTTGCTTTTCTTAATGCTTGATTTTTAACCTATAGAAAAGCTTCTGCACAGTTCCTCTCCTTAATTAACGGAGCAAGTTTGTGGTCATTAGGACCCTAATTGACTGAGAGATATTTAAGCTCAGAAGTGCAACCTCACAAGCGTTAAGATTTAAAGGTCAGTCACTCAATTTTTCACAACACTAGCAGCTACTATTTTCAACTTTTAGATTTGCTGTTTGGCCTTACAGGATTGCAGAATATTTTGTGTCTTTTTCCCTCCAGAAAACATCTAACCGACATGCCCCTCCCTTTCGCAAACTATTTTTTCTGAGCCTCCCTTTTATTCCCTCGCCTCTCCTCCTCAATGCTCCCTACTGGTAACAGTCATGCTGTGTCTATGGCCGTCAGCGAAAGCAACCCTTTTGCTCGGTGCCCGGTTGCTGTCTCCAGCTTGGGGCGTGACTCAGAAGTAGAAGAAGATACAAGGAGGCAGGGGGGGGAGGTGGGGGGTAGGTGGTGGTGGTGGTGGCAGCAAGGGATGGATGGTCGCGGGGCTTTGTGCCTTTAAGGAACGCCGATGTTGGAGGAGCCAGTGCGTGGTACGATCTGCCACGGTTTATTTTCGACACTTGGAGTACTAAGTGTTCAATAATAACATGGATGCGTTGTCCACGTACGGTGCAGTACGAACACAGGCAGCGAGGTCGGTTAGCTACATCAACCATGAATTTCTTTCCACTTCACTTCTTTTTCTTTTCGTAGTTTTTTCACACGTCTCCAGACTCATAAATTGCTGTGAGGAAACCTCCATTTGTCTGTTGGGTTTCCACAGGAGTGCAGCTCCCCACTTGGGGAAACAGCTTTTAATATGAAAGATACTCAGAAAACACATTGTTTATGCCCCCACACACACATACATCACATTAGAAAAATCCAAAGTGGTAATTTTTCTGCTGTTTTTTTCTCTTTAGGAAGCCAACTTCCCTCCGATCTATAATGCAGTAGATATTGCTCAGCCTATTGATTGATGTCTCCTTCCCCCCACTTTGACATTTGCTTATCCTCGTCCGCATCTACTGCTATTGACGTTCGCTCTATCTGGACATCTTCCTAAGCTGTTTTGTCATTTGTCACCTCTTAAATAAAAACGGAGGAGGGGGGGAGTTGTCAGTGATAAGACTTAATGATACCAACCACTGTGATGGTTTTATACAAGCTGAGGGGAGAAAAAAAAATAAATACCAAAGGGAAAAAAAAATATGTAGCACTGCTTAATTTCCAGCTCCACACCTCTTATGGATCCACAGAGCAATTTTACCCAGCATATTTCTATTTCTGCCACTAATAAGCAGACTAAAGAACACCCTCTCTGCAACCTCTAGCATGCATTCACTCATAACTGTGGTCAATTTAGTGCAAATTTACTGAAAGCAGGCTTTTGTTTGACACCTTTTAAACTAATGTATTTGAAGAGCCCACTCCAAACGCTCTCCTGTCAAAAGCTACTATTTTCCCCCAACTTACCCTCAACTCTCCACTTCTTGGATACAAACTGGTGAGATCAACACATCCACATTAGAGCTGTTGCTAATAAAACACCCTCGGAGTGAGTTTCCAGGATTTATAGTTTGCCAGCTCACTATTTGTAGTACAGTAAATGCCGTGCTTCCTGAACATGCATTTCTACAAACACAGTCTGGCGCAGATTTTCTCCCCATGAGGTGGAAGACAGATTCTTCCTTTCCTCCCTCCCTCTTTCCATCCATCCCTCCCTCACCCGTGCTCCTGCAGAGAGGCTATTATTGCGGCTAATTATCTACAAATAGGCCCAATATGACAAACACGGTCCTGTACCGGTGCTGGCTAAGCGCAGGAATCAGTCTGAGAAGGAATAAATGAATGAAAAGGAGGCGAGGAGAGGCGGACAAAGAACAGGACAAAAGTCACAGTGAAGAAAAAAGAAAAAAAATATGAGTCAGAAGATAATTGAGAAGTACGTGATAAAGACACAATGTGGAATGAGATGAGAGAAAATGTGGAGCTAAAAAAGATATAAGTGGGAGGCAGATGGGCAAAGAAAGGCAGTGACACCAAAAGGGAGACAGCATAGACGGGACTAACACAGGAAAATGATCTTGTCTATACAGTGTGTGACGGTTGTTGCCATTGGCAACTGTCCTGCGATGCACAGGCCACATCCACTTAGCTCCCAGCATGCCTCATGATCAGGGCAGCTCAGGGGTCTAAGGCTGTCTGTCTCATTTCCATAGAGAAACTCATTTACCAGGCAAGTATGGAGGGCTATGACGCATCAATGGGTCCTTGATTAGATCCTTACCTCTGATACATATGAATATTTATCAGTGTTGAATAAATACACATTTACTCTCCTTTCATCTGGATCATCCAGAGAGTCCTCCTGCTCTCCTCTTAATTTTTTCCAATGAATATGTCACAGGAGCATCAGGGCTCCCTACAAAGTGACAGCACTCAAGATAATCTGGTTATTGTTGCTCGGAGGCGGTGATCAACACTCACTTTAAGTTTCACAAATGCATCGGGCTTTTGTCTTGTTGTTTTTTATTTTACCATGGTGACAACAGCTCTTAGAGACCTAAAGGAAATGAATGAGGGGGACAGTAATCACAGCAGCGCACTTAAAAGGGTATGTGTTTGGAATTCATTGCTGCACAAGATTAGTGTTTGGCTGCACAACTGAAGCTGCAGGTGTGATACGGATGCCAAGACAAGTTGAAATCACAGAGTTATTCCTGTTTCAAACACAAAAGATGCATACAATTACAAGCGCACCCACTCTCACTCTTTTTTTTTTTTTTTTTTTTTAACCGCACCGAGCTGAACAACAGATATTTTTAGTGAGTTTTACTTACATCACTCACTCCGGCCTCCACTATCTTCAGGCCTGTCTCCTTCTCCAGCTGCTGCTTCTGTTGGACTGCACGGGGAGACAAAAGCAGAGGAGGTGTTGAGTATGAGCAGTGGATGACAAAGTAGCAGATTTTTCAGTTCCTGAGGCAGAACAAGTGGTCAGTGAAACTGAGAATGATGCAGGGGATGTATCAGCCTGAGTCAGATGTCAAACTGGTCATAGAAAATGTCCAGCCTACACACACACACACACACACACACACACACAGAGAAAATATTCGTCAATAGGAGAGGCAAGACATTTTTTTGAGGAGTATACAGTAGTGTGTGGTGGCTCTTTTGAAGAAATGGTGGTTAGTAGGTCTGTAATAGGTAAGGAGACAGAGAGTCTCTGTGGATCTGTGAGGCTGTGCTCGACAAAAATGGTTGCAATGGAGTCCTGCTGTAGGTTCTGATTCATAGTGCAGTTTCATAACACCAGATTAACGTATCAAACTTGATTTACCTGTATTATCAGAAGCAACTGTGTTTATGGTACAGCGATGGTGGAAAGAAACCAACTAGTTTCATTACTGAATATGGGACAGCGTTTAAGGTCTTTCATTGGCTGTGATGGAGGTATGTGGATTCAGAAGACATGGCTTTGCTAGATTTTATTTCATGCCACCACCCTGCTTTGAGTCATATATGGATTGTGTCGCCATTGATTACTGAAAAGCAAAAGAAAATCTGAGCCTTTTTACACCTTGCGTATGTTGCCCTCACTCGCGGAAGCCTTAAGAAACTACTGACCAATCACAGTTTTTGACATTTCCAGTGTATTTCCCTAGAAAATGGAGCTTACATTTATTAGCATGATGCGTGACTACTTTTTGCAGAAGTATAATAAATGAAGCTTTGGCAGGTATAATGGTCATCGTCTCAGCTTAACACACATGTATGCTAGTTTGCAGCTATTAGGTCACAAATTAAAGCACTGAAAAAAACAGAAGTTGTGGCCTGATGACAGCATTACATGAAAAGTTTGGCAATCACCAAATATTTTTACAATTAATCCTGAGGGTGGCGTGATTATGTGTAGCAAATTTCAAGGCGTTCCATTTATTGGTTTTGGCAGGAAATCACCAAAGTCTGTAGGATTCATCCAATGGAGACCATGAATATCTGTAAGAAGAATCAAAGGCGATCTGTCTAATAATAGATCAAGTGGTGCTCTGGAAAACATCATAAAGGAATTTAGTCAAATCGACTTCCTTTTATAGTTTACGTAATGTTTTCCTTTTTTCTTCTAATTTCTAGTAATTGAGCTTAACTGTTTCATTTGTATTTGAAGCCCACTTTAGAGCTTAAAAACAACTTTTCATCACTTGAGACATTTTGACTTAAATGACTAATTGACTGAATGAACACCTGAAAGTTACCTCAAGTCAATAAATTAGTTTTTTTTTAAAGAAACTAGCATACAAACAGACTTTCCAGGATGCACTGTTAAAGAATTAAAGCTCTCCAGAGACTCTTGTTTTCGTAGCTTGAGAAAACAGACATCGTGGAAACTTTCTGTGTGTCTTTAATACATGTTGAAATAAGTTATGGTTGTTTCTTTTCATAATAACCAAAAAGAAATTCGAACCACGACAAAGATTAGTAATGAATTCAGTCCCTACACTCGTAGATTTATAATTTATCTCATTGTAATTGGGAGCAGCTTCACAGATAGTCTTTCTACTGAAACTGGTAAAAAAAAAATAGCTTGAATGGCTGCTGCTGTAAGTTGATGAAGAAGAAACTCTTTAAACTTAGAATATGTAAAAGAAAAGTCAGTCTGTCTAAAACAACTGTCTGTGTGACAAATGGATTCAACTTAATATCTTGAACTTGTTTTCTCAAGGTCACTTAACTTAACTTAGCTGGTTCTACACTCTCCCACAACTCATAAGATGATTTTGGACGAAGTAAACCAACCAAAGTGCAGTTAACTCACATTTTTAAAGCAGCAGAGAAAGCCATATTTCCAAGCTGAATGAACTTAAAATGATTTAAAATGTGGTCAGATGTTGTGATCCAGGAGCTGGTTAAAAATAAATGCACAAAAAAGTTTACCAGTAAAAACGTATCGTTGCCCTCACACACATCGAGCGAGGCGTACTGAAGATTACCAGAAAGCAGATGAAGTGCTTGTAGATTCACAGCACACAATAACTTGAGCTCCTGCCTTTGTTCTTGCAGTAATTAATACACCACCCGAGTTTGATCCTCAGATCTACTGATCTAATCAAATATGGCATGCTATTTCCAAAGCTTTGTTCACGAAGGATATTCTCATGCAAATCAAACTAAAGTGAGGCAATGTTAAATATCCATCGCTCAAGATCACACATTTCGCCGACTTTTTTTCCTCCTCCCTGCGCCTAATGTCCCTTCCTCACTTTGATGGAAACATTTATGTTGGAAAACAAAATCAAAGGGGCCTTAATAGATTATGCCAAATTATAAAGTGAAAGGAAAAAATGGAGCATAATTTTAATTGAGTATGTTAGCATGTGAATGTGATTGGTAATGGGGAAAAGGGAAAAGAGTGAGAGTTAAAGGGAGGAAGAGAAAGAGAGCAGGTCCTTTAAATCCCATTTCCCCAGATGAAGGCTATGCAAATGACCCTGAAGAGCTGAACCCCACCTCACACTCCAAATTCGGCAAGGGCCTGTTTAATTAGTATTTTAATCTATCCCAGTGATTCCACTCAGTCCACAATGTATGCAGAATTCTATCTAATTAAGCACGCTACTTTTAGGATAATCATCCATCGCCCTCGCTCTTCCTCTGTCGCCTTTTCTCTTTCTGGTTATTAAGGATCCTGCAAACACTGATCATCCTATCATCTCATCAACATGGCAGCAGAGGGGACAACTTATATTTTAGGTGTCAGCCAGGGGTTTCTGACGGATGGCTAAAAGGAGCATAAAGAAAGAGCTGGAAAGGTCAAATATACATTCAAAGTCTCTGAAGAAGAGTGCCACATAAAAGAGGAAGACAGAGGGGGGGGAAAAAAAAGAGAAAAAAAAAAGAAAATCTTCTGCCATTAGCGAGAGGAGAAAAGTCTTCCACTGGCATGTCTCCAAGATGAAACTCATTTTCATTTCATGTTGCCACCCCTGTATTTAGTCACAGACATATTGGCTCTCCATAGATAGCTACAGTACCTGCTCGGTCCTGGTGCTGTTTAGGAGGGGGGTAATGAGCGAGGTAATTGGGCCCAGCTGGGTGAGGGCGTAGGTGGTGGGGGGGAGGCGAGGCTTCTTAAAGGTCACGCAACGTTTTGGTCCTAATGAGACCCCTCTGGGGTCGCAACACATCATGAGTCAAACTACGAAAGATTAGCCAGGAATCAACACATAGACGCGTCACAGCGGCTGCAGCTCAGGTTTGACTGACAAGCTGACATTAACCGTCTTGTGGTGAAACCAAAGAAGCCTGAAGGTCAGTATTTACTTGTGAATCAAAGCTAAAAACTCTCCAATCAACCTGAGGGGAAGGACAGTCCCACAACAGCCACTTTAAATGTAAATACAGTGTACTTGCCAAGCTCATTAGCCGGCGACTGGATGGATCTGGGCTGCTGTGAGGATCCAGCCAATGGATTGCTTGTTCTCCCCCTGACTGTACAGATAACAGCCTACAGCATCTCTTTTTGGTCACCCCTTATATTAACCTCCCACTGGAGCTCACTTCTCCGTCTCTTTTTCCTCGTAGACACACGCACAGATTTTGTAGGCTTCAAATTAGCCACCAAATACTCCTGACAGACTGTGGAAAAGAGATGTCAGGTCTCATTTCAGAGAGCCTCCTCCAGTCATTTTAATAGGCATTGTCTGAGTCTATCTAGTGTGATTTCTAATATCGAGATCTGATCCCTGCTGCTCATTTGATCTTTTTGATATCCAAGTCATATTGAGCCAAATCATCTAATGTTCAGCAGGTGGAGAAAAAAAAAAAAAAAAAAAAAAAAGCTCAGTAAAGCCAAAAGGGTTTTCATGTGTGTTCAAATGTGCCCCATTTTCATGTGCCTTTCATTGAAATTATACTCAAGGGGAACAGTTTTAATGGATAATATAAAAATGAAAACTGCCTGGGACGATCTGAAATCAATCCAAGAGGAGGTGACTATTTAGAAAATAGGAGCTGCCTACTGTTGAAGTCATCATTTTCAAGGTTTTCATAAAATCAAACCCTATTTCTGCGACAGTTATGAGTCTGCATCTTTTTAGCAATCGCCAATGTATTCTCCTTTTTGTAAATATCTTTCTATGTAGTCGTTTTTAAACTCAGTTGGATTTAAAGTTTTTCAACAGCAGATCTTTTTAACTTTTGCAAAATAAATAAAAGAACAAGAGGGCGCTGCTACAGTGAGGTTAATCCGAAGGGTAACCAACTTTACTTTACATAAAGTCACATCCTAGTTGCGATTATTTTTCACTGCAGGTTTGTTTGGCTGCACTGTGAACTGAGACACTAGTTGCTCTTCTCTACAGCTTGTTCAAGGTGCACTGTCGTATTAAACCGCTCTCTTGTAAACACCAGTAACCACAGTTGTCACTAAATCAAGGAGGGCTGCACTCTTTACAACTCTAGCTTCAAATTAGCTGTTTAAAGAGGCTCATTCACATGCAACGCTGCTTTATGTACGCTAAATATATTACAGCCGCTAAACATTTTAGCCTCCATCCCCTGAATTATTTGAGCTTCTGCCAAAGGACATTTTTCTATTTCAAAAACTGCACTCGTGTTATCAAATATTACAAATGCACGAGGGAACGTGCTTTGATTTGATCGCTGTCTCCCCGTTAAGCATCAGACACTTCAGCCAGGTGAACACGACGAACAGAGAAATACTTCAAAAACTCATCAAGGACTTGTTGAAGAGGAGGAAAAGGCCATTTCAATCATCAGCCTAAAGGATGACGGAGAATATTGCTGGCTTTCCTTGACACGCACACTAATGAAGGAAATATAGAAGGAAGGAAAAAACAAAAAAACAGCCAAGTACACATTTAAGCTTGATTTTATACGACC